TCTCTAAAGCAGAGGCGTTTATCCAGGAAGACGCCCAGGTACCTGAATCGCTGCGAGGTAATTGGCAGACCGCCTACCCGGATCTCGGCCGTTTCTACGTGCTTCCTGCTAGAGATCAGTACTGCTTCCGACTTATGTGAGGCCAGTTCTAGGCCAGCAACTGCCAACCAGGACGCGACAGCTCTAATTGCGCTGTTTGCCGCTCACTCTGCCTCTGCCAGCTTCTTGCTACGACCACCAGCGCCACGTCATCGGCAAAGCATACTATGATGGTGTTTGCGGTTAGCGGAAGGTTTAGTACTCCATTGTACATAGTATTCCAGAGCAGGACTCCGGCTGAGACCTCGTGCGTTCTGGTGCCCATTGAGGTAACCGGGAATGTTGAAGGCTTCCAGGGCCTCCAGTCCGCAGAGTTAATCGCGTTTCGAATGTCTAGTGTTACCACTAGGCAGTACTCCTTAGCGCCGTTTTTCCATCTTGTGCATGCGATGTTATTCGCGGCCAAGTTGGTCAGTCGATTTCCGTTTTCGAAAGCCGAACTGATTTGTCGAGAGTTCGCCAGCGCCCTCTATTGCAGCCTCCAGCCTCGCAATGATCACCTTCTCGAAGACTTTCCCGATCATGTCCAGCAAACAGATGGGTCTGTACGACGGCGCCTCTCCAGCGGGCTTCCACGGCTTCGGCAGAAGAAGGAGCTTTTGTCGCTACCATCGCTCTGGGAACGTGCCTTCCACCGGGCACTTGTTGAAGGTCTTGGCGATCACCTTGGGATACAGGGTCGCCCTGTTAGGGATCGAGTCGGGACATGGTGCCTTCTTATTGTTTAGGGTCCTCGCAGACTCTAGAATTTCCTGCTCCGAGACCGGGCATATCTCCACGGACTCGCTGCTCACAGGATAGTACAGCACACTATGGTCCAAAAGACGATTTTTTTGGCATAAACTCTAAGAATTAAGTTACAGACCTCAAACTTTGCACATTTTGTATTTTAAGTTAGCTTAATATGTAAACAAATTTTGGAGTCTGTGTGACCCGCCCTCTCTTGCCTCCCACAGTATTATTACAAATGTATTAGTATTAGTACAAATGTGTCTTTGAATTCAGACAAATTAGTTACATCTCTTTTGGGAAGGATACAATAATATAATAATTTATTATATTCCATTTTGTCCTTAAACTTCATCGTCTTCTTCTTCTAATACTAAAGAGCATTGGTCGTTCAGGTCCTCATCAGCATCAGAATCGGAATCAGAATTAAATTACTTTTCAGTAGACGGCAGCTCCAGAAGACTTAATACTTCTTTGGGAAGAGGTTTTTTTTAATATTTTGTCTCTTGTTTTCTCTTTCCTTTAAAAAAAACACTTGAAGGTAAAGGATCCGATGAATCTATCGCCCTGTGGAAAAGGTCAGTCATAGTATTGATTCGACTATTTTTCTTGCGTGGGAAAGTCTGTCTTCTTTGTACATTTTATTACGTGCTTCTGAGGCATTTTCGCCCAAGCAACCAAGTGGAACCAAAGTTAAGTTATTTATTTGAAACCCATGGACTAATACTTTGTGAATAGTTGGTGACATTGCCACCACGGGTATTTACTCATATATAAGTTAAACGTTTTCTCACAAAAAGTTCGACATTTTTCAAGACTTACATAATGGTTACAAGAAATTGCTATTAATATAATGTAAAAATTATTTAAAATTTGTTCGTCAAAGCAGGTTATACATAGACGAAAGTTCTTCACTTTTTGCAAAAGCTCTTCGTGCTGTATTGCCATCTGCCGTTCTGTTTTGGCAGGCTTATTCGTAGACACATTTCATTCGGCATAGCGACATAAGTCCGCGCGACATATCTCCGCCGAACTACAAACGACATATCTCCGCTCGGTGTTATGTCGTTTTCAAGCGACATATCTCCGCGCGGAGAAACAGTGACGAACTTAATTTGTGGCACAGTTGGCATGTCTGACTTTGGCACCGTTTTTCTGCATTAAATATAGCAATGTTTTCTTAAATCAAATTTTATTAAAATATATTGATCAATTTCCAACTAATGTTAATGAATCCACCTTATAGTCCGGACATTTCCCAAAGCGATTACCATCCGATTTTGGCCATGCAAAATTTTTTCGATGGACAAAAATTGAGTTCAAGGGAGCATTGTGAAAATCGAATCGCCGAGGTTTTTGCCAGTAGGGACAAGGACTTCTTAAGGAGAGGCATATACAAGTTACCATCAAAATGGCAGAAAATCATATCTCCGCCCGGAGATATGTCACTTTTTTTCTGGCGGAGATATGTCGCATGAAAACGACATAACTCCACGCGGAGATATGTCATTTTTTTCCCGGCGGAGAGATGTTGTTGTAAAACGACATAGCTCCGCGCGGAGATATGTCGTTGTAAAACGACATAAGTCCGCCCGAAAAATGTACCGGGCGGAGATATGTCGTCGGACTTATGTCGCTATGACATTTCATTCCATATCTTTTCTTGAATATATATTTTTTTTTTGCGTGCACCCATTTTAATTTTATCATCACCAATTACATGCCATTTTTGTATTTCTATTCTGTATGATATGTTCAGGACAAATTCTAAAAACCGAACCCACGCATGTAGTGGACTCACTTCAAATTGTAAAGCTTCTAGCTTAGATGTAAAGGTTTTTGAATTAAAATCTTTGGTGGCCATTACTTTTGTTGGGGTGACACCACAGATGGGACAACAATTTAGTATCAGTTAGTACGTTTAGAACTTGTCCGTCAATAAGGGTCATATGCATTTCAAACGTTACTGCAATGACAGTACAATGTACAGTGTCATCTATTTTGTAATAAAACGTTTCCAAATCTATCTATTTGATAGTCCCACTGATTTTTTCCATAATAATGTGATCAGTAGTTTCTTTTACAAATCGAATTTTTAGGGGCCTGAAAAATCGAATGGACTGCGGTGTTCGGTTAACCCATATGTTTCGCTGAAATGAGCCAATCATTTTTATGGGGATAAGAGAAATTACAAACAATGATTGATCTGAAATCTGCGCGTCTGGAGTGCTTATTTGAAACTTCTGTTTGTGTGCACTCTGGCCAGTTGACCCATCAAAACCATAACTGCAAATTAATTTTAGTCCGGAAATTGTTTAAAAACATCGGAGGAGGTTTTGTAAAGAAACTTGAGCAGTAGTTTCTGTAACATCGATTCCTATTAGCCGACATTGAGTTTTAGCTTCAATAACTTGGTTGTAACTCGGATAAATGTTACTGTTATGACTTATATTCAAAGCCCTAGTGTTGACATACTGCTGCTTAGTCAATGAATTTTCCAGGATGTAGGCTGTTGTTGTTGGTGTTGGTGTTAGTGAAGTCGGTTTTAGCATTTCAAATTGCTTTCTCAATTCCGTTGTGTTTTCAGGTGTTGTAATCGTTTCTTTTAGGACAAACGCCACATTCGTATTATTTTCTCTCTTAGCTGAAACTGCTGCAGCATGAACAAGCAGATTTGTGTTATTTTCTTTTTCATTCGCAAGCTCAGATGCCAATTTTCTTTTCAGTCTGGGCCCTGCATTTGTATAAGACAAGATTGGGCGTCCAGGTCGTTGTGGTGTCTAACAAATATTTAATGTAAATTAGATTTCAGACGACAAAAATGCACCGTGCCCTGACTTAAAACGTTCTATCATATAATTAAATGTTCTAAGGTATTTTTTTATAAAGGATTCAAAATTACTTATTTTTTTATTTAATTCTACTTTTTTGACGGAGTGTTGTTGTTGTCGGGTGCGCCAATCCGCGTGAAGAGAATCGATCGCGGAACTCAAAAGTCGGCTCGGCGAGTTGTTGTTGTTGTTGGACTCGAAAGTCTACTCGGCGAGTGGTTGTTGTTGGACTCGAAAGTCTGCTCAGAGAGGTTGTTGGTGGACTCGAAAGTCTGCTTAGAGAATTGTTGTTGTTGGGCTCGAAAGTTTGCTTAGAGAATTGTTGTTGTTGGACTCGAAAGTCAGCTCAGAGAAGTGTTGTTGTTGGACTCGAAAGTCTGCTCAGAGAATTGTTGTTGTTGGATTCGAAAGTCTCCTCAGAGAATTGTTGTTGTTGGACTCGAAAGTCTGCTCAGAGAAGTTGTTGTTGGACTCGATTGTCTGCTCAGTGAAATTGTTGTGGACTCGAAAGTCAGCTCAGAGAATGGTTGTTATTGGACTCGAAAATCTGCTCAGAGAAGTTGTTGTTGGACTCGAAAGCCAGCTCAGAAATTGAACTCGAAAGTCAGCAGAGATTGGACTCAAAAGTCAGCAGAGATTGGACTCAAAAGTCAGCAGAAATAAAGGAACTGTTGCCGATTTTCGGGGTTTGCTTTTGCCTTTACATCGGAACATAGGATTCCCAACGGGTCTAAGCCTAGATTGAAGGTAAAGTACCAAGAAAATTAGCAATACAAGTTGTAGTTAGCAAGTGGTTTGGTGAGTTGGGTAGTTTAGCTAAAGCCGAGTCTTTGATTTTTATAAAATCGAAGCCGGCTATGACCTCAAGTCTGCAATTACGAATGCTATAATTTAAAATAATAAATCATATATATTTTACATTGTCCTTCACTTTTCCACGAGTTTACAAACGTATGAAATTTTTTCGATTAAGTCGATTATAAAAATCTATATCGATGTATTGCATAATTTATTATAGAATTAATTTTATTTCCAACTGAAATGTGCAACTATTTCATTTGCTGCTGAAACTTTTTTGATTAAGTCGATTATGAAAATGTATATCGATGTATTGCATAATATATTGTAGAATTAATGTTACTTTTAGCTGAAATATGCAACTATTCGACTTTCTGCTGCTTATTAACTTTAGAAATTTTAATAATGTACCTAAAATATTTAACTAAAATTTTTTAAATCTTTAGGAATAGCCCACAATATATTTAAATAGAAATAAAACAAATATTTTATGTATAAGCAATATTTTTGTAAAAGTGTATAATTTATAACTCTAATTATTAGATTAATTTTTATGGCGTATTTACAAATTGGAGTTATTCAAACGGTGGCAAGCTTTTTTACATTTTTTGCAATTTTGGCTGAGCATGGATTTATGCCTCTGGATATTATTGGAATTCGAAACAAATGGGACTCAAAGGATAATGAGAATCTTCTAGACAGCTATAACCAAGAATGGGTATTATATCACAATACCCATTACATTATTACTCATATATTGTTTTCAGACTTACAGAGAACGTAAGGTGCTTGAATATACTGCATGTACTGGGTTTTTCGCAACAATTGTAGTAACTCAGATTTTCGACTTATTTATCTGCAAAACTCGTCGCAACTCAATCTTTCAACAGGGCATGGGCAATCATGTCCTAAACTTTGCGTTGGTGGTTGAGATTATTATTGCTTGTCTACTATGCTACGTTCCGGTGTTTGAGAAAACATTAAGAATGTATGCTGTAAAGTAAGTTTAAATATGAATAACTATATATACATAACTCATTTTTGTAATTTAAAACTTTAAAGATTTATTTGGTGGATCTACGGCGTACCGTTTGGATTGTTAATTTTTTTGTTTGATGAGGGCCGCCGTTTTCTTATAAGAAGAACACCTGGAGGCTGGGTTGAGCAAGAGACCTATTATTAATATTTGACGTAAAAAAAAACTAAGCATTAATAAAATTCCGTCGTTGTGCTGTAAAAATCCACGTAGGCAGAAAAACTATATACCTAGATGAAGATTTATGTTTACCTTGATTATTTTTTTTTTCTCATGGATCTGGTCTTATGGGCAACGTAGAACTAGTAGAGTTATAAAGTTCCGGCACTTGTGTGCTTTTCTGTATTCGATAATCATAAATGTAATATGACTATCATTATTATATTGCTGCCTCTTTTTGCTTTGCATCTTCCAGCTTTTCCTAATGTGATTCTAGTGCGTAAGTCGTCGCGACTCCAGCTATCTACATTTGAGGTTATTGTTATTATGTGTATTGTTATTGTTATAATTTGCACATACGAGTCTTTTGAAAGTTCATGAAATTAAAAGGATATCCTACAGTGGCGCAACACAACTTAAAATTGAGTTGACCCAACCAGTTGGTACCTTTCATGTTCCCACGGATAAGATTATAAACTAGGTGATACCTAGAATGGTTCTACGGTTGTTTATGGACGGTAAGTTTATTTGGATGAGTCTTCTAGAATAGGAGGTTAACCTTTGAAGTAAAAAGTTCTTTTGAACCGATTCGATGCGTTTTCTGTGGACGTATTTCATAAGGACTCAAAAAGCGAGATTCTCATTCTAAGTACGAACTAAAAGAACTCTCGGAGAATTCAAGTCATCTCCAAGCAGGTCGTCAATATTGGTTGCTTGTTGGGTTGTCTTCTACTGTTCCGCACTCAGTCCTGGCGAATGCAGCGAGACTTCGTTGCCTTTGTTGCTCATTACATTATCTCTTTATTCACACGTGTCCGCCTCACGTCACGTCCAAATCAAGAAGAAGAAGCAAAAACCAGAAAGACCAGACCTAGCAACGCAAACGAAGCCATACACAGTCTCAGTTCCCATACCACCAGAACTAGTGCCTATTAACCATATATTATTAACCATTTCAACCCATTGTCACACCTTAAAGTTTCATGCCTACTTCTGGCCTCCTCTCCGACACGGCCATTCTAGCATATACACGTCCTCGTATCTACAAAAATAATCATAATTTCACTGAGAAAACTGTGGGAGTCGCGCCAAAGTGGCAACTCGATAAGTTTTATCGCCCACATTTTTTAACCATCCGGGTTATTAAGGGTAGGATCCTGGCATATTGCTAATATGCGATATAACCTAAAAAAAGACCACAAAAATTCGCGAACAGGATTTCGGCAAGCCACGGTCACATTAGATCTACTCACTTCCGTTCTCTTTCACAAGGCGTCCCCGAGTTCGGATTAATTTTCGTCAATCCTAAGTCCAAGAGCATCGTGTCGATCCGACAGTTAATTGTTAAAGAGAATCCGACCCATAAGTAAATTTAGTGCTCCATCATATATTTGTAAGCTTTCGTGAAGGGTCGATCGCCGGAGTGCTAATTTTGCTTTTCCAAAACAGCGTCAGCCGTATTGGCAGAGTTGCCTAAGTGACCGGCAGTGTTTTTGCCAGCAATTGCCCACCACGTGAGGTGGCATTCATTTGTGGCGTACATTTGTGGCATTCATCGTTGGCATTGTCTGCGGGATCAACGCCACGTGTCATCGAAGCATTCACCACGCACAGCGTGGGGCTGCGCTTCCCTTTTCGGCGGCCTTACACGTGCCGATCGCGGTGGGCCTCGATTTGGATTTTCTTTTACCCCTTCGCTCACGTGCAACTTTTCCCTACTCGATGCACACATTAGATCGCCGTGCGTTTTTGCCACACACAGTGGATCGCCGTGCGCTTCTTCCGCACTCACACCTTGGCGGGCTGATTTTGGTTGCGCCTACGCCTCACGCAGGGGTTGGAGCCAGCTCTGTTTTTTTTTTTTATATTCGGTATATTTATTACTCTACAATATATACATACACTACACATAAACATGGATGGCTTAACAATTAACAGAAAGAATACGAATCGGACGCCCAGCGGTACCGCCGCCTGGCATTGCTTCGCGGGCGCTGTGACCCCTACTCTGTATGCTCCTTTCGCCTTCGCTCCTGCTCCCTGAGAGACTTCATGACGTCCGCGGCGAATGTCGCTGTAGCCTCCCACACACGCTGGTCTGCCAGCATCATCGGCACCAGTGTCTCTGCCACGATACTGGACCCTGCTACCGCCTCCAACTCCTGACGCTCGTGGTCAAACCGGTGGCACTCGAACAGCACGTGCCGCGCGTCCTCGACGACGCCGGAGCCGCACACTGGGCACCAGTCCTCCGTCTCATGGCCGAACCGCTTTAGGTAGCTGCGGAAGCAGCCATGACCGCTGATCACCTGGGTGAGGTAGAAATCTACCTGCCCATGCGACCTCTCTACCCAGCTCGTAATGTTGGGGATGAGCGTGTGCGTCCAGCGTCCTTTTTGCGATGAGTCCCAGCGAGGCTTCTCCTTCTGGCGGTAATCTTCGACTCTGCTCTAGTCTGCTGGGTTGCTTCCGTGACCTGCGCGGCTGCGTAGATCTCCGCCCTCTCCCGAACGAGCTCCGTCAACGGGAATTGTCCGGCGATAACCAGCGTCGCGTCCTCCGAAATGGTTCGGAAGGCGCACGCGATTCTGACGGCGCACAGCCTATAGGTTGCCTCCACCCCTCGCACATAGCTTTTCACCTTAGCGGCTTCCGCCCACACTGGCGCTGCATACAGCATCTGCGACGTCACAACCGTCGTGAGCAGCTTCCGGGTTACTTGCTTCGGCCCTCTAGTGTTTAGCAGCATCCTGGATAAAGCTCCTGCGGTTCCGCTGGCCTTCTTGTGCACAAATTCCAGGTGCTCCTTGAAGCACAGGCGAGTGTCTAGAAGAACGCCGGGGTACCGGATTGCCCGCTGGACCGTATCGTGGTTCCACCGACCCTCACGCTAGCTGTCTCCACCGCTTTTTGACTTGAGACAAGCACCGCCTCCGTCTTGTGGGCCGCCAGCTGCAACCCTGCGTTCGCTAGTCACAACTCTACAGCCTGCTGCGTCAGCATGAGCCTCCACAGTAGCTAGTTCCTTGGCTACCACCACTATGGCGACGTCATCGGCAAAACCAACCAGGCTGGTGCCCTCTGGCATTGGGAGTCTCAGAACTCCATCGTACATGGCGTTCCAGAGCAGGGGTCCCAAAACGGAGCCCTGCGGGACTCCGGCTGAGACTTTGTATGCTCTGGAACCCAGGCACGTGTCCGTTGTGAGCACTCTGTTGCTAAAGTAGCTTAGCGCTACATTCAGCAGGTAGCTAGGGATGTTGAACATCCTCAGGGACTCCAATGTCCGCCCCCAGTCAGCCGTGTTGAACGCGTTCCTTATGTCCAGGGTTACCACTAGACAGTAGGATTTCGTTCCTCCTTTCCACCTGGAACCAGCGATGGCTTCCCTAGCTGTCTTGACCACCTTCGTGATGGCATCCATGGTCGACCTTCCCTTCCTGAAGCCGTATTGCTCTGTGGATAGGCCGCCCGCTGCTTCGACGGCTTCTGTCATCCTGGTTGCGATCACCCTCTCGAAGACTTTGCCTATTATGTCCAGCAGGCAGATGGGCCTGTAGGAGGAAGCCTCTCCTGGCGGCTTGCCTGGCTTGGCCAGCAATAACAGCCGTTGCCGTTTCCACCTCACGGGGAACGTACCTTCCTGGAGGCATTTGTTGAAAAGCCCGGCCACCTGCTCCGGCAGCAACGCTAGAGCCAGTTTTGTCGCTCTGCTAGGAATTCCGTCGGGTCCCGGCGCCTTCTTGGGCTTTATGTTTCTGCCGGCCTGCAGTACCTCGGCTTCCGTGACGCTGCGGAACTCTCCTGGCTCAGCTCTTGGGAAGCTTCCGACAGGCTGACCATCTGGGAATAGGGCTTTGACGATCCCCTCCAGTGCCTCCGGGTCGGATGGGGCGTTTCCCCCCGCGTTGAGCTTCTTCACCGTCATCTTGTACGCGCCCCCCATGGATCCTCCTCGGCGGCATCACACAGCTTAAGGAAGCTTTCCCGCTTGCTGTCCCTAATAGCGATCTTTAGCGCCTTCCTCGCCGCTTTGTATCGCTCGCTACATTCCACCAGGAGCGGGCTTCCTCTTGCTCTCTGAAGCAACCTTCTGGAGCGGTGGCAGGTGCGGCGTAACTCGGCGATCTCCTCGCTCCACCAGAAAACCGGGCGGTGGTTTCCTCGGAACGGCCTCCTCCGGAGCATGCTCCGATCGCAGGCGTCTTCCACGGCGTCGGCCAGCTTGTTTGCCATCACGTTGGCTCCATCAGCTTCGTCCACTGCGAATCCCTCAAGGGCGCTTGCAAAGGCCCGAGGTCTAAATGTGTCCTGCCGGAACGCCCTTCTTGGTAGAGGTGGGGGGCCACTGGGTCGGCCGGTCATCCCTAGCGAGCACTCTATGGCCTCATGGTCGCTGGCAGTGTAAACTTCCCCGATCGTCCAACGGGCGCGGCGGGCCAGTGCACTGCTAACGAAGGTGAGATCGATGACCGATCCCGCGCCTGCCCTGCTGAAGGTCTGCCGGGAGCCTTCGTTCAAGAGGACGACGTCCAGCGAGGCAAAGGTTTCCAGCACCGCGCGGCCTCTTGCGTTTGTCCGGGAAGATCCCCATTCGATAGCCCAGGCGTTAAAGTCGCCACCGACCACCACATTGCTATGTCCCCGGAGGTCGATGCTCAATTCATCCAGGATACGACCGAAGGACTCCATCGAAAGGCTGGGCGCCAGGTAGCAGCTGTATAGCCACGTGCCGCCAACATTTGCTCTAACGAAGCCGTCAGCCGCCTTGATGTCGCACATCTGCTGCGCACCCACTCCGCATAGCCACAGGGCCGCTTTGCCAGTACGGTCCGTGGCCCAGTCTCGGCTGTTTCCTATCTTGTATGGCTCGCTGAGGATAGCTACCTCTGAGCCGCGTTCGCGCCCTGTCTGCGTCAGAAGATCCTGCGCGGCCCTGCAGTGATTCAGGTTTAATTGAATTAGCTGCATTTGGTTGGTTTCTTTCAGGGATTGCAAATAAGAGTTATGAGTAAAATAAAAGTTATTACCAAAAAATTGAGCTGGAAAGATGAAATATTTAGGTATACCATAATTTTTTAAGGAGTTCTCAAAAATAAAATAAACTTTTATAACCAATTTTAATTTTTTTATTGCGATTTAACTCTTATTTTTAAATATTAATAAAAAAGTTGTAGAATAATTATTATTTTTCAATTTGTATATAAAAGTTGAGTTAAGGTATAAAAGCGTAGATTAATAATATATATAAATCTTTAAGATACACTGCTGGTCTTGGGTTAGACGCACTCAGATTTCCAAACCAATTTGTTTTATATTTTTTATTTTAATGATTATTGAAAAAAGTTAATATGCAAAAACGTAGCTTATTTAATAATACTTCAATTATAATATTCAAAATATTATAAAAATACATATAACATAAGTTGTATTTTTAAACATTTTCTTCAAGCAACTTAACATAAGGCACATTTTTCTTGGTCAATAGAATAGACGCACTTAGACATAATATTTTTTTTTTTTTTAAGAAACTTATTTTTAACTTAAGTTTGTAGTTGGTGTTAATATTTGATTTATTAGAAATAAAAAAAAATAGTTTAGTAATGAGTACTGCCTCCTTTGTTAGTAATAACTTCATATATCCGGTCCTTCATAGAATAATACAGGGAATCTATGTATTTCAACGAAATCTCGCTCCAAGCACGTTTGATAGCTGCAGTTAATGTTTCCTTATCTTCGTATTGCTTTCCTTCTTGGTATACCTTCCGCGTTAGCCAGCCCCAACCATTTTCAATTACGTTAAGATCTGGAGAATATGGTGGCCAGGTCATGATATTAACGTTTTGACTCGAAATAAACGACTTTACTACTCAAGCGTTATGAATAGGAGCATTGTCTTGTTGAAAAATCCAAGGAATTGGTTCAAAGAGATCATTTAATTTTGAAAATACGGACACCAACAATGTTTTGAAGCGATCGCCCTTCATCTTCTGACTAAACCAAATCAAGTCAATTGTACAATAAAACGTGATGGCACCCCACAGCATTACTCCACCTTCTCGGCTGTTGTGGCGACTTAAATGTATCTCATCTTTTCGCAAATCGTGATAATAATATTGAAAGCAATTAAAACGTTTTTCATCAGTAAAAACAACAGAACGCTAATCATTAAGCCGAGTATCAGTTTGAACATTCCACGTAATGTATTCTTTCGCGAATTGGAGCCGTATCTTTGCGTATTGCATTCAGAGGAGGTTTTTTCTTGATTTTTTGATGCTTTAGGTGTTTTGCATTTCTGATTGTACGCTGAACAGTTGAAAGACTGGCTTTTACTCCGGCTAATTCCTTAATCTTAGCTGCGGTCTTAGTCGAATTTGATGCAATTCTAACAATTTTGCGTACTGCTTGTTCAGATAGTGCTCTTTTTTTTCCTTTGAAGTTTTTTCCATATTCCTCTGGATCTTTTAAATATCTATCAATAGTCCTGGACCTGCGATTTATCTTTTTGGCAATGTTTCGATTGGACAGTCCTTGCGAGTGAAAAAAGTCTTCTTTTTGACGTTCTAATAAGCTCATAACATTAGCTTTTCCCATTTTTACTTTAAATATAGCTCTTAACCAATTTATTTGTTTATCTTTAATATTTTTTCAATACAAAGAACTGCACTTGTTTACGCAAGAGAAACAAATCTAAAGTGCGTCTATTCTATTGACCAAGAAAAATGTAGAAATGTAGAAAAAATGAAGAAAATGTTTAAAAATACAACTTATGTTATATTTTTATAATATTTTGAATATTATAATTGAAGTACTATTAAATAAGCAAGGTTTTTGCATATTAACTTTTTTTCAATAATCATTAAAATAAAAAATATAAAACAAATTGGTTTGGAAATCTGAGTGCGTCTAACCCAAGAACAGCAGTGTATACCGCTCCGTTGAAAAGTTATTGCGATTCATTTTTATACCCTTGCAGGGTATTATAATTTCAGTCAGAAGTTTGCAACGCAGTGAAGGAGACGTTTCCGACCCTATAAAGTATATATATTCTTGATCAGCATCAACAGCCGAGTCGATCTAGCCATGTCCGTCTGTCCGTCTGTCCGTCTGTCCACCTGTCCGTTTCTACGCAAACTAGTCCCTCAGTTTAAAAGCTATCTGAATGAAACTTTGCATATAGTCTTCTATATACTCTCACTGCTATATATGTCGGAACGGGCCGGATCGGACGACTATATCATATAGCTGCCATACAAATGTCCGATAAATTTTTAGAAAAAAAATTATACCTTTGCTGTTTTTCAATATTTTTGCACCATTTTTTAGATATGGCCATTTTATATTATTTCTGAATTTTGGTAAAAATTTTATGAAAATCGGACGACTATATGATATAGCTGCCATAGGAACGATCGGGAAATTAATAGGAAAAAAATTATAGCTTCGTTGTTTTTCAACGTATTTGTATCTACTCTGAGATATTGGCTTTTTTTATTGTTCTAGAATTTTAGTATGAATTTCATAAAAATCGGACAACTATATCATATAGCTGCCATATAAACCGATCGGTAGATGTATACAAAATGTAAAGCTGGGAATGCAAAACTGTAACTGTCAAACTGTAAACATAATAAGTATAGGTAAAATGTAATGAAATAATATCTGCAAGGGTATACAAACTTCGGCGTGCCGAAGTTAGCTTCCTTTCTTGTTTATTTTCAATTTTTAAAATAAAAATTGGAAAATAATTTTAATTTTCAATTATTATTTTAACAAATTGAAAAAATTTGTTATAACTCAACTTTTATATACAAATTGAAAAATAATAATTATTCTACAACTTTTTTATAAAACTTGAATAATAAGAATTAATTTCCTATTTTTTCTATATAATTGTAAAATAACTCTTATTTCATAATTTGTATTATAAAAATTATAACTGTTACGATCCCTGGTTTCTTTCCATCCCCTCCGCCAGCAGCTGTCGCACATAATGTGTGTCGTACCTACAAACCTTTTCGATCTTAATTTAACAATTTTTTGGGAGATTTGGTAATTATAGTATTGATTTTTCCCCAATATAACTTAATACACATACAGCTACTCATCACCAGTCATCTGGCCTGCTGACGTCGATGGAGAAAGCGTAAGTACGGCATAGCCGTAAAACAAACCAATAACCAACAAATAATCAAAAGAAACAAAAGAAAAAACTGAATTCGCCAAGGCTTCTAAAATAATTTGCTTAAAACATCTTAATTAATTATTAAAAGAATATTAATAGTGTGACGACTCGACTGGTCGCCACTAACGTGTATATAAGTTAAGTCCTTTGTAAGGACATGTGGGGAGCCCCGCCATAGTTCGGCTCCCTATGGCGGAGCTAAGGCCCCAGTTTATACTTGTACCTATTCATTCCCACAGAAGTTTCAGAACAGGAGACCAGAATAGGAGTCGTCGTTACAATTCGTATCGTTATAATTCGTATTTATTATTTAATTAATTAGAACAAGAGGATAAGTAATGATAACTAGTTTGGTTCGCCGTCCAACTGCTACTAACTTGACCCAAGTCGTCGTCTGGCCTTCAGCCCTCGGGGTAGATGGGCGTTCCGTTGGCGCCGCCCGACGTCGGCGTCGGCAGCGCTTGCCATACTGCAGACCTTGCAGTTCTCACCGTGCTCCAATTGCACGGTGAGCGGTCAATGTGCCGTGCCCGGCGGATGTCTGCCGCCGTGCTGAGTCGGCACGGGGTGAGGGGGGCAGGTGGCTCGTCAGCTTTTCCGTCGGCCGGTGGATACCAATGTGCCGGATCGGCACGGGGTGCAGGGGGCAGGTGAAGTTGGCCGGTCAGCGCTCCCGTGGCCGGCCGGCGGATGTTGATGTGCCGAGTCGGCACGGGGAGCGGGGGGCAGGTGAAGTTGGCCGGTCAGCGCTCCAATGGCCGGACGGCGGATGTTGATGTGCCGCGTCGGCACGGGGAGCGGGGGAACAGTTGGGTCGGGCGGCCAGCCCTTCACTGTTAACTTATATGTAAATAACTATTTCCTAAATTATGCTTAGAACTAACTATGTAAATATTATACCTACCCTTCAGTTCCATTCCTCCCGGAGGATCTCGAAATTCCGCCAGGAATCCGCACCAATCCCCCGGGACAGTCCCCGGGAATTTCAAACTCGAATCCTGCAGGAATCGACGACGAATCCTGCGGGAATGGCTGGCGGGCATCGTCAAGGAAGCCTGCGGGAATCGTCGCGGAATCACCCGGGATTCGCTAGCGGAATCCGCCAGGAATCCCAGATGAAAACCTATAGAAAATTCCTGAAAAATCACCCCCTTCCTAGTAAAAATCCGATGTAATTTATTCCTTATTTATTTATGGATTGTAAATTTTTATTGATGTTCACTTTTTCTGGTAGCATTACATATTTCTGCATAATTAAACATATGTATGTACATACATATATATATGTATGTATTTATTTAAGTGCGTGTCACGGAGCCTTCTCTGCCAGCTGCTGGGTCCTTTAAGGAACTTGTTCTATCTGTAAATTAAATACATATGTACATATATATTGTGACGATGTCACAATCCCCTATTTTTGTAAATTATGTACATATTAGTTAAGCTTATAGTTAAGTTAGTAATTAGTATAGGGAAATAAGTTAGGATTAGCCACGCACCCACACACACAACTGTACATTTAAGCGGGCATGAAGCCCAAAGTTAATTTACCCAGGAAGGGCCAAATTAGATTTAGATTAAGGCCGCAACGCACAGGCGTATACATTTTGTCAACACGGACTGTAGCGACCGCGCTAAAGACATTTCCCCTCTCCGCTGCCGACGCGAACAGCGGCAGAGGCAGCGACATTTCCCCTCCGACGATCGTGCGTGTTTACGTTTTGGTCGTGCTTATTTACATGCCGATCAAAACATAAACAATAACAATAACAAAGCCGACGGCCGA